GTAACCTGAGGTACCACTGTACTGGCTTTTTCTCCAAATTAAAAAGCCCCAAACGCTTTAACTTTTGTTCCTGGGGGAGTTGCTCCATCCCCTCTTGTCATTTTGGTTTCCTTTTTCTAAACCTTTGTCAAGCTCTACGATGTCCTTTTTGAGGGGAGACGACCATAATACAGTGGTACATCGGAAGTCAGACGGAATCCGTTCCAGACGTACATTCAACTTCCAAAGTGTTTGGGAACAAAGGCGTGGCTTCTGATTGGCTGCAGGGAGCTCCTGCAGTCAGTTGGAAGCCATGACGGACGTTCGGGTTCCAAAGAACGTTTGCAAACCAGAACAATCACTTTCGGGTTTGCGGCATTCGGGAGCCAAAACGTTCCGAGTCGCAAGGCGTTCGTCAACCAAGGTATGACTGTATTAGGAGGCTCCTTCAAGATAACAAACTCTGCACCCATCCAGGACCCCTATTCCCCCCCACACACAATAAAATCTATTTTTTTTTCAGGGCATCTTCAAACACTAGGGACGCGCCAAGCCCAGTCCATGACCTTTCATGACAAGTGGGAGAACTTGGCTTTGAGCATTTAAAAAATTCTTTCTCTTTATTACATCCAATAAAGTAAATAAAGAAATCTATGGACAAATACAGTATTCCAACACATTGAAGGCAGCATGAGATGAAACACTATTTTTAGACTCATTCCAAAACACTATAATCTATATAAAAAACATTTTTCCATGGACCTCTTAGGTTGGTTTAGATGTATTCCTTTGTAATAATTTATTAAGTAAGAGGTGACATGATAGAAGTTAATAAAATGATAGCCTGGCATGGAGAAGATGGATAGGGGAGAGCTTCCCTTCCTCTTTCATAACACTTGAACTCGTAGACATCCAAGGAAGCTGAACGTTGGAAGATTCAGGACAGATAAAAGAGAGTTCTTTTTTCACGCAGCACATTGTTAACCTGCGGAACTCCCTCCCACAAGAGGCAGGGATGGCAACCAACTTGGATGGCTTTAAAAGAGGATTAGACAAATTAATGGCTAGCCATGTGTGCTATGCTTTGGCTCCACAGTCAGAGGCCGCAATGCTTCTGAATGCCAGTTCCTGGAAACCACAGGAGGGGAGAGGGCTCTTGTGTTCGAATCCTGAGCTTCCCATTAAGGGCATCTGGTTGGCCGCTGTGAGAACAGGGTGCTGGACTAAATGGGTCATTGGCCTGATCCAGCAGGCTTGCCTTACAGTCTAAATCAGTGTTTCCCAACCTTTTTTGGGCAAAGGCACACTTGTTTGATGAAAAAAATATCGAGGCACACCACCATTACAGCCCCGTGACGTCAGCGCGCAGCGTCACGCCGGGAGGGACGCACGAGCTCCTTCTCCTGCTCGTTCAGGGCCGGGTTGCCGCCGTGAGGGAAGGGCGCCGGGGCGCTGCTGCTGCTGCTGCCGCCGCCGCTCCCGGCAGGCATGGGCCCAGCTGAGGCGGCGGCGGCTGTTGTGGTGGTGGCGGCGATAGCGGGCGGAGGAGGGGGCGGCGGCGGGGCCGAGGTGGCCGGCGGCGGCGGGTGAGGCGGCGGCGGGTGGAGCAGGAGGGCGGCCGAGGCCGGTGAGGGAGTAGGGTTGCCCGGGGCTTGAGGAGCTGTCGCCGGGAGTTGCTGCTGCTGTTGTTGCTGCTACTGCCCGGACATGCCGGCCTCCTCCTCGTCCGCTGTCTCGCGCTCCTCCCTTTTGCGCGCGCTGCCCCACCGCCGCCCCATTGGCCGGGTCCTGTCAGCTGATCCTGTGTTATTTCCTGTGTGTGTGTGTGAGGGGAGAATGGAGAGAGAAACTTCGCCACCACCACCGTGGAGCCGCCCCCGGCTCGACGCGGATCCTCGCTGCCGCCGCCCCGCCTCTCGCCGCCCGACTCGCCCGCCTCCCTCCCACGGCACACCAGGCAAGGTCTCGCGGCACACTAGTGTGCCGCGGAACACTGGTTGGGAAACACTGGTCTAAATGTCTTACATTCTTCATATAAGCCAGATCTTCTCTAACCATTCACATACAGTATGAGATATACTATTTCTTGGTCATTTTCCAGGATAATATCCTTCAGGGAGCCCAATAGCAGTACAGTGTTTTACTTTCTATGGGTATCTGCAGGGGGCTGTACTAGTCTACGACCCCCCCCCCATGTCCCTTCCAACTCTACCGTTCTATGATATCCTAAGATGTCCGATATATTAGCCTGCACATATTTCCAAAACGTTTGAGAGCAGTTCCAAAAGGGGTGTATGTGGTCTACTTTACTTGATCTGCATCTCCAGAATTTGTCTGATTCCAACTTAACTTACAGTGGTACCTCAGGTTAAGTACTTAATTCGTTCTGGAGGTCCGTACTTAACCTGAAACTGTTCTTAACCTGAAGCACCACTTTAGCTAATGGGGCCTCCCGCTGCTGCCACACCACCGGAGCCCGATTTCTGTTCTCATCCTGAAGCAAAGTTCTTAACCTGAAGCACTATTTCTGGGTTAGCGGAGTCTGTAACCTGAAGCGTATGTAACCTGAGGTACCACTGTATTAAGTTTAAATTTTGGAGTGTTCAAATACATTTGACAAAAGGTCTGAAAATATTTCTCCTGATTCAGGCCTGCTGAAGTTATCTTAGATGTTATACTTTGCATTTGTTTTATTCTTTTCCTTGCCAGAAATAATGAGAAGAAGCCGCAGGATTTCCATCTCAGCAGCGGCAGCAAATGTAAAATGACGGTCCCACGCTGGGTTTCTGATAGGACTGGGAGAGTTTGAATGCCTCCTGCATCGAAACTAGGTCAGTTCTTGAGATTTCTCCACATATCTGTCTCAAACCAAAATTCCCCGTCATGTTCTTCCCCACGATGGGAGGCGTAGAATCATACAATTGTGGAGCCGTCTAGTGCAACTCCCTGAAATGCAGGAATCGCAGCTAAAAATCCATCCTATTCAGTGGCACAGAGCCCACGCATAGAACTGAAATGAAAGATAGCAACCCTCAAATGACCCAAAAGGAAATTCTGACCAAACATTAGGAAGAACTTTTAGAGGTTAAGAGCTGCTCAACAGTAGAATGGACAATTTCAGAATGTGAACAACCTCTCTTTCCTTGGAAGTTTTGAAGCAGAGGTTGGATGGCCACCTGTCAAGGATTCTGTTATGTACTGAGTTGAATAGGATCCAAAATGCAGCAGTCTGATTGGTCCTAGAACAATAGGAATCAGATATACTCAGAGTCGAGAGTGGATTTCATGCTCTTTATTCAGCTCATAGTGGTGAGGAGGAATGGAAGTTCCGCCAGAATGTCTGCTTTATATACATTATTTACATAATGGGCCCCACGTGATTGGCTAATTCCGGGATTCTCCTGTAGGCCAATCAGGTTGCAGACTCACTTCCACCTGGAGCTGGATTGGGTGGCTCCTGTGAACCAATCAGACTGCTGCATTCTGGATGCTATTGTTCTAGGACCAATCAGACTGCTGCATTCTGAATCCTATTGTTCTAGGACCAATCAGACTGCTGCATTTTGGATCCTATTCAACTCAGTACATAACAGATTCTTGAGCTGTGATTCCTGTATTGCAGAGGGTTTGACTAGATGAGCTTTGGGGTTCCCTTCCAACCCTACAGCTTTAGGATTATATAAGCCAGCAGAGGCCGTTGTCCTCTGTGCACCCCTGGGCAACGAAGCCCAGCTTCGTGATCCAACAGCCGTGTCCTCGTGATGAGAAATCAAATGTGGAATTCATCAATGCGATCCTGCTGACAATTGGTCATAAATATCTCGAGTGCGAGAGACGGTGCCATCGGAGCCCTTTCCCAAAAAGCTGAGCAGTCAGCGGCGTCCATTGCGTTTGATTTGAATTGTTCAGGAAGGTTTGGTGGGGTGGAAGGAGGGAGGGAGTCAGGGCAGCCTAATCATTCCCATCTGCCTCTCTTGAGTCGAGTGGCTCCATTTCCCAAAAAACATCCAAATTCCTTCCTTGATTTCCCCAAACACCCATTCCGTCTGCCCTCCGCACCCCCACCCCGTCTCCCTTTCCAGCCAGTGTGCAATTGTGGGATGGGCTGAGCTGTGGTCATAACTGTAGTAAACATTCCGCCCCACCCTGGAATTCTGCACCCTGTATAAATTATGCAAATTGGGAAAAAATTGCATATATTGCTTTAGTTGGCACCACTGATGGGGCATTCCTACCTGAAGATGCCAGATATTGAATCCAGGGCACGCTGAGCGGATGTTCTGCCACTGAACTACATGGGCTTTTCTGCTTTGTCCCAGGGTATCTTGGGGATTGCTTGAACTCATATCCCAGTTCACTCACTGACAAAAAGATGAAACTGTGTCCGTGGCCCAGTCCTGTGGAACTCCCTGCCACTAGCGATTCAGCAGGTAAATGCCTGCTAGAAACCATTTTTTGTCTGTGCTGGCAGTTAAGAATACATCTTTCCACACAGTGATTAATTGAGATCTGTTTTTATCTGTTTAATGGTCTTTATTATATTCTTTTATGTTTTTGTTGCTGTAAACCGCTTTGATACATCTTATATGACACAGCAGTACAGTGGTACCTCGGGTTAAGTACTTAATTCGTTCCGGAGGTCCGTTCTTAACCTGAAACTGTTCTTAACCTGAAGCACCACTTTAGCTAATGGGGCCTCCCACTGTTGCCGCACCGCCGGAGCACAATTTCTGTTCTCATCCTGAAGCAAAGTTCTTAACTCGAGGTACTATTTCTGGGTTAGCGGAGTCTGTAACCTGAAGCGTATGTAGCCTGAGGTACCACTGTATACAAATACAGTTATACCTCAGGTTGAAGTAGCTTCAGGTTGAATATTTTCGGGTTGCGCTCCGCGGCGATCCGGAAGTAACGGAGCACGTTACTTCTGGGTTTTGCCACAGATAGTCAAAATGACGTCACGTGAATGCGCGGAAGCGGCGAATCGTGACCTGCGCACATGCAGACGTGGGTTGCATTCGCTTCAGGATGCGAACGGGGCTCCGGAACGGATCCCGTTTACATCCAGAGGTACCACTGTATTCTTATAAATAAGTCAACATTGTCCGATCCACCCACCCCTCGTTGCCACGGAGGCGTCTCTCCTCTTCTTATTTTCTCGACAGTCCTGTATGTGTCTCAGCTCTTTCCTGGAGGCCAGGGACCACAGCCGACGGCAGGGCATCCCATCATAATGCAGCATGCAGAACATTTTCTTCGCTTCTGCCCTGACTCTGTTGCTCACTTGCTCCTCTCTGGGGCTGTTTAGCCAAAGCCAAGATTCCTTCCTGCGTATTTCTTTGCTCCTGCCTGAAATGCAGAACCTTTGCTCATTAAAAATGTTCAGGGCTACCCAGGGAAATCCTGCTAATTTTATGGGGATTCTTTTTCCCCCTTTCCCTCAAAACCCCTTACAGATGTACTCTGGCCAATCCACATTTGCCACAGGTTTTTCCCTTTTATTGTTGTTTTAGGCCAAATTAAGTGAGGACTCGCTTTGGGAAATGCGGTCTGTAAGGTTCAGAATCCCACTACAATCTTAGAACCCAAATTCTAAGCAAAATCTCAATGACACATGCCTTTTTATATATAAAAAAGTTCAGAAGCCTTGAACTCTTGTTCAGGCAAGAAAGAACGTGGCCCTGCAGATCTCTTTATCTGGCCCTTGAGAGCCTCCCCAGACCCCACACCCTTCACCAATCCCTGATCTGCACCTTTCTTGATTTTTGACTGGCTGGCGTGAGTCCTTGAGCTGCGATCCTGCCTCTTCCTTGCCTGGATGGAGAGAGAGAGAGAGATTTGAAATATTAAGCAGCAAATAAATAAATGTGTCTCTGTGTTTATAAATAAATCTGCATGGCCGAAATGTAGCCTGCCGTGCGAAAGGCAAGCATCGCATCCATTGTTCTGCCTGGCTCTGGCCGCTGTTGCAATGTGGCCCCAGAAAGCTTGCCAATGATGGAATGCGGACCTCTGATTAAAAAAAAACACCCCACTCTGTAGTAAAGTATCAGCTAGGCCAATTTAATCCCTTTACACCTTGTTTTATTTGAAGCCCCTCAATCTTATCATGACCCATCACTTGTAATTTTGAATTCGGATTCTTTTTTCTTTCTTTTTGTGTGTGCAGATAAGCAGAAACCATAATGGTTCACTGGGAAACTGTTGCCCTTAAGAAGCAATTCTATCTAGCATGGGGATTCTGAAAGATTTGGCTCCATTTCCCCTCTGCAGATTTTCACCCAGAAATGAGACACCGTCAAGGAGATGAAGTGACTCCCCTGTGAAGAAGGGTTGCAGCATTTGGGACTTTTCAGAAAAAAGGCGAATAAGAGGTGACTTCACGGAAGCTTAATAATAATAATAATAATAAAATTTTATTTATATCCCGCCCTCCCCAGCCGAAGCCGGGCTCAGAGCGGCTAACAACAGTAAAATATACAACATTCTAAAATTATTTCATTATAAAATCAGTTCAAATCACATTAAAATTATGCCTGGCGTGGAGGAAGTGATAGAGAAAAGCTTTCCTCCCTCCTACCCTTAGAACTGGTGGGATGTTGGACGGTTCAGGACAGAAGAAAGGACTTCTTCATGCAGCAGATTGTTAAACTGTGGAACTCCCTCCCACCGGAGGCAGTAATGGCCACCAACTTTGATGGCTCTAAAAGAGGATTTGACAAATTCATGGAGGAGGAGAAAAGGGCTACTGATGGCTCCTAGCCAGGATGGTTCTCTCCACGGTCCAAGGAAGCAATGCTTAGAGAATATTTATGTGTGTGGGGAGAGAAGGGAAAGGGACAAACCAGCAAAACCCCCTCTGCACAGAGATGTTAGTTGCTCAGCCCTCCTGGACAATGGCCATCTCCACCTCTGCACAATGTCAGGCCGCGCCGCGATATTAAATTTTACCTTTTGCGAAAAACCTTGCAGCTTTTAATTGCGCACTCAGGCCCTGGGATTTCAGAAACTCCCTGCTCTGGTGGAGAAAAGATCATCTGGATCTTTGAAAGCTTCGGGGGGGGGGGGAGACGTCACCTTAGTTACATTTTAAGCCCACTTTGCCCTTTGCAGATCTCGGGGTGATGTCTGTGGAATGCCCCCCCCCCTGTCCTCAGTGACAAAGCTGCGAGGTAGGCTGGGCCGAGCCATAGGTCACTGGAGTGAGCGTCGCGACTCAAATCCGCACCTTCTTCCCCCCCCCCATCGGTGTAACGCACCGACTGTGTCCCAACGCAGAAGGAAGACCTGCCAGCGCTTAAGCCCCATGCCTGGGCCTGGCCTGGATTTCCCTCCAGCCCCGGATTTAAAATAGCTGAGATCTCGCTCTGGTTTATGTCCGTCTGCCATCAGCACTCCTCTCTCTGCAGAGGGACTCCGAGATCCCAGTCAAGACCTCTTCTCAGCCTCCCCACGGGGCGGCCTGCAAATCTCCTGCTGACAGCCCTTGAATTTATTCCTGCAGCTTTAAAAAAAGACAAGGGAGGCAGAGTCTGAAGTCACTCAAAGGTCATTTAGTTCACCCCCCTTGGAGGATGATTCCACTTACCTCTTGACCACACAACACACATACACACTTCCATCTAGCGAGGCAAGCATGCCCAGAAATAATAATAATAATAATAATAATAATAATAATAATAATAATAATAATAGCAAGAATTGAATTTTTTTTTTGCTATGGCAACTCAAAATGGCTTACACTATTTTAAGCAAAAAGCAAACCAGCATTAAGAAAAAGGTAAAAGACCTCTTTAAAAAATTAAAAAATCCATTGCCTTAAGATATTCCATCCATGGAAAAATGCCTCAAGATGTGTAATGATGGCGCCAGGTGAGCCTCCCCAAGGAGAGCATTCCACAGGAGGGGAGCCACCCCTGAAAAGGACCCGTTCTTGTGTTGTTTGCATAACAACTTGGATCATGAGGAGAAACCCTATTTGGATGAGGTCCAACTAGTCCAGGCATAGGCAAACATGGCCGTCCAGATGTTTTGAGACTACAATTCCCATCATCCCTGACCACTGGTCCTGTTAGCTAGGGATAATGGGAGTTGTAGTCCCAAAACATCTGGAGGGTCGAGTTTGCCTATGCCTGAACTAGTCTCACCGTGGCCAACCAGAGGAGGTAACTCAGCCGGCGGTACAGACAAGAGTGTCTCTGAGCTTTCGCTGAGTGTCTCCCTGCTGCCTCTCAGCAACCACAACCAGCCTTCCATTTGCTGGGATTTGAGGTGGCATAGATCGGTTTGGGGTCACCGATCTAAGGCAGCTCTCCTTTGAACCTTGCCAATTTTTGAATGCAGTTACCCCGTCAAACAATGTGCGCACCAGGGGGAAGTGTTGTTTAAAAATGCCCCACGTTATTGAAAATATGGCATTATATCAGTGGAAATGGCTTGCAGAAATTGACCAGCTGAGACTGAAAGAAGAGGTCCTCAGTCATGGGTTGTTTTCTTTTTGACTCGTAGAACCACCCATTTCATAATGAAGTCAAGATCCAAGTTCAGCTGGTGGAATTAGCTCAGTTCACAGAATCACACAATTCTAGAGTTGGAAGGCACCCCAGGGGTCATCTAGTCCAACCACCTGCAACTGATTTGCTTTTGAACCCTGTGAGATAGGTCATGCTGAGACTGTGGCCAAGGTCACCCACTGAGATTCATGGCTGAGTGGAGATTTGAACCCTAGTTCAACGCTCTAACCACTACACCACACCTGTATGTCCAATAATAACAGGTTGAGGGTCACTGATGTCCATCACTCCTGCTATAAACCCAGACTAGGGATGCAGGGGAATTTTTTTTTTTAAAAACAGAAATGTTATAATTTATTATCTATCCTTCACCTCAAGGTCCCAGTGTGGGCTACAATTTAACACACAACATAAAACAACAACAACAACTTGTCTTGAAAACACAAAGTGATGTGGAAAGGTTGGGAACTGGACGTGAGATTGGAAAAATGAGAAACCGAGAGCAGTCAAAATGGGCACCTTTGTCCACCCTGAACTTTGGAGGCGGGTGGACTGGAAGTACGTTAGACATGGGGTGGTAGTCTGTGTTTTCTTCCCTTGAACTTGTGGAGTGTTAAGCCCACAATTGGAGGGTCTTGGACTAGGCATGTTCCCATATGCCCCCCCTCGCAACCAGTGAGTCAGAAAGGCCCTTTATGCATATGCAATTGGGAAAGATCTGCAAAGAAACTTTTATGAGCGATCAGGGGGACGACTTTCCCTGCACATTTGGCGGTCTAGCTTTGTGGGAAAAGCAGAGGGAGTGGGGGAGGCTTTTTGATGCAGGTGTCTCTCCCCACACTTCGTCGACTGCCCCAAATTGCCCATCCGAGCAACCGCCGGACCCTCTGAGACTCCCCAGCCGCACTCCCGGCTCCGGTTTGATCAACAAACAAGAACCCTGGTAACCAAGATGAAAATTAAGACCAGGTGAAGCCTCAAAGGGGGTGGCTGATGAGGCCAGCTTGTTGTGTAAGCAAAGTCCTGGACAGCTCCCTGCCTAAATCTCCTCCGCTCCACCCCAGATCTCTCTGCCCTGTGGCTGGCTGGCCCCGCTGCATGATGATGGCGATGAAGAGTGAGGGGGAAGCATGAGCCATTGAGACGGAAACACACGTTTGCCGGAACAAAGCGCTGGTGCACACTTGTTTGGTTCTGAACGCAGGCACAAACCTCCCCACCACTGGGTGTCGGAGCCCAACAACACAAAGGTGCACGAATGCTCTAGGATAGTATTTCCCAAGCATTTTGGGGGAACCCCCTTTGGTTCCATAAACTCATCTCCAGCGCCACCTATCCTGCCCTATCAAAAATATTATTCAGAGTACAGTGGTACCTTGGGTTAAGAACTTAATTCATTCTGGAGGTCAGTTCTTAACCTGAAACTGTTCTTAACCTGAGACACCACTTTAGCTAATGGGGCCTCCTGCTGCTGCCGCGCCGCCAGAGCACAATTTCTGTTCTCATCCTGAAGCAAAGTTCTTAACCTGAGACACTTTAGCTAATGGGATCTCCTGCTGCTGCGCTGCCACCGCACAATTTCTGTTCTCATCCTGAAGCAAGGTTCTTAACCTGAAGCACTATTTCTGGGTTAGCAGAGTCTGTAATCTGAAGGGTCTGTAACTTGAAGCGTCTGTAACCCGAGGTACCACTGTAGTGACTTCCATGAACCGCTAAACCAGAGCTTTCCAAACGTTTCATGTTGGTGACACACTTTTTTTTAGACATGCATCATTTCGTGACACAGTAATTCAGTTTTACTAGCAAACAGGAGGTTAAACTAACCCCTTTCCAGCCCTGGGAGGAGCGTTTGTGTGACACACCTACACACTGCAGCCGACACACTAATGTGTCTTGACACACAGTTTGGAAAGCTCTGCACTAAGCAGTAATGGATCAGTTGCACGTTTACTCAAATTCCAGCTAAAACTATTGAGTTTAATGAAATTGTTTAATGATACCAGAAATTGCAGGAAACATATTTTTATGCATTCTTGAGGGGAACATAAAGGTGAAGGAAATTTACAGCATGAAATAGTTCTATATAGGTAAAGGGACCCCTGACCATTAGGTCCAGTCATGGCCGACTCTGGGGTTGCGGCGCTCATCTCGCTTTATTGGCCAAGGGAGCCGGCATACAGCTTCCGGGTCATGTTCTATATAACTACTCACCAAAGGTGCACAAATCTTCACCTTCTGCAAATCTATGGTCAGTAATTAAAAGAGAATCAATAGCAATATTACCAATAATTGGCTAACCTGTGACGACACTGAATCACATATATATATATATAAAAGACCGAAGGAAATAGCTTTGAAATAAGAGTGTTGAAACTTTAAATACGAAGCAAGGAAGGTGTTTTGCTAGAGGCTGTAGCCTGGTCATTCAGAAATAAGAGATTGAGATGCTTGGAGGGACCCACCTCCAGTGCCCCCCTGCCACCTCCTTGCTTCTTAGCGCCCCCCCAGGTAATCCCACTGTCCCCCAAGGAGAGATGCTTTCTCCTTTGGGAAACACTGATTTAGCCCATGGGGAAACAGGTGTGTGTGTGTGCGTGCGTGTGCGCGTGTGTGTGTGTGTGCGTGTGCGCGTGTGCTTGTTTCTTTCCTGATTGATCATAGAACCACAGAATTTGAGTCATCAACAGGGTCTTTGACCCTCTGCAATGATACCTTCCTGGTTCATCTTGTAGCCGGGCTGGGTGGAAGAAGGGCTGTCGCTCAGTGGCAGAGGAATGCAGGGTCATGCCCCAGCACCCCCCCTGCCTGAAATCCAGGAGCACTGATGAGATGGAGCCACACTGACCCAAAGATTTGACTTGACCGAGGACGGCAGCAGAAGCTCTTGTTCAAAACCATGATGGCCGCCTTGCATGCAGAATGCTTCTGGGGAAACCCGCAAGCACTCCCGCCCCTGGTGATTTCCAACAACTGGTACTCAGAAGCATTGCTGCCTATAGCCATGGAGGCAGAGCCCAGTCCTTGTGACTAGTAGCTGTTGATCGCTTTGTTATCCTCCACAAATCTGCCCATTCTCCCTTTCAGGCCATCCAGGCTGGTGGTCCTAGTCTGAGAGCCCCCTGGCTGTTCATTGCACTGAGTCAAACTTGCTTTGGTGCACGTGCACCGTTGGTGAACGGCCTCGGCGTGCAAGCCAGCGAGCCTCCTGCAGTTTTTGTGCCCAGGGTTTTGAGATGTCAGGTGGCTGTTGGCCCCCGACTGGGGCTTGGGTTGGAGCCCCTCTGCTTGCAGCGACGAGAAAGGAGAAAGGCGACGCGATGTTTTGTTTCTTAATGTTCTGTTCTCGGCTGTCTCCATGCAACGTACGCGGTGAGCTGATTGCTTATTGTATCATTGTATCCTGTTTACAGTCCAAAGCTGGAAAGGGGCTTAGGAATTGTGCTATTTTAACACACACACACACACACACACACACACACACACACACACACACAGAGAGAGAGAGAGAGAGAGAGAGACACTTTAATCTTATTTATATACTAGCAAAGAAATGACCATCATTCTGTCTGGAGGACAAAAAGGCTGCAATCTCCTTGATTAACCTTCAGGGAGCCTGCTCTGGACTGCATGTTTGCAGAGCGGGAGAATCCTGCAATTTTGTATGCTGACAGCCTTCCAAGTTTCTATTCGACAAGAGGTCAGGAACAGGATCCCACCAGCTTTCTTCTCCCCCTGCCCTCCCTGCCAGAAGGGCACTTGTAAGAACTTTGTAACTAAGAAGTAGCGCATCAAGTTTTTCTTCCTCCCTCTCAACCCCTTTTCCTTTTGTGTCATGTCTTTCATTCAGATTGTCAGCCTGAGGGCAGGGACCCTCTTATTATTCACCACCCCAGGAGCCCCCCCTTTTTTGGGCTGAAAAGCAAGGCTTTAAAAAAATGCTTTAAATAAAACAAAACATTTAAATAAAAGT